TTTTTTTTTTTTTTTTTATTTTATAAGTGTCTGAGGAAGTACTAGATATGAGACCCTATCAGTAATATTTGGAAAATTTCCTTGAAATGAAATCTATGGACTAATCATCCACTGTGATGGCATTAATCATGTCACATTCTTGGGACATTTAACTGTGATTCATCTCCTCTGTGGGTACTATGTACTTATGAGTTACAACCCATTGAAACAATGTGTCTTTCACACAAAGATATAATATTTAATTAACAGAAAAGTGCATTTTTTTACAGAATTAGTCATAAGTGTTGTAAAACATTACAACAAGAAATAAATGGAAGCTCAAATTATGAAGTAGAGAGCCAAAACACATTATTACGTAAAAGAGAAAGGCTTAGAATATAAAGGCATTAAGGGAATAGTATCATTAGTTTTGTCACTGTTCATTTTGGTAATTTTACTGAAGCTCTTGCCTGCAATATTAGCTAGTGATCCTCTATCAGACACACTTTTTTAATGCATCAAAAATACTTGTAGTAAACTCATTAAAATATCAGAAACAACTCTCTTACAAACTGAAATGCTTACTTTATTGTGGTCACTGTAATTCAGTCACTCCTTTCTTTGTAGACACCTTAGTTTAATTGAGAAAGGTTTCAAACCCTTAAGACCAACAGCCTTGAACTGTGAATGRAAACTACTTTTGTATCTACTGGCACTGCATTGCTGAATATTATATTAGAGATCAACAATCAACAGCTTATACAGAGGCTTGAGTATAAACTTCTTGTTTACCCGGAAAAACCTGTAGATGTTTTCTTCCTTTCTCTTTTCCTCCCTTCCTCCCCCCCCCAGCCTTTTATTTTTCTTCCCTTTTTAATTTGTATTTTCTCAAAGTTACTGGTAAAAGATGCTAAATTCTAACAGCAAAAGAGGAATTTTATGCCTGGACTGCTCTAGGGCCAGTGTAGATGCATTAATTACATTAATTGTAAGTTGACAATCCTAGTCCTTAGCCGTCTGGGGCCTTATCCAAGGCTYGCTGACGTCAATGGGAACATTTCCACTGCCTCTTTTTTGGCTCAGGTCCTAAATTTCTGTGGCAAAATATAATGCTGTGAACTAAGCTGTCACAAAAAAAATGTACTGCAACTCTTCAAATCTCAAAATAGCAGAGTGTGTACAGAATTCACAGTAAGATTTGTATTGCTGTGGTACTGAGATGCTTAAGCAGAGAGAATACTGCTGCTTTTACCTCTAAATTGCTGGTTTTCTTCTATGGAATAAAATAACCTATCTCAGTCACGGATGTTCTGTATAGGAAGAACAAATTCACTTTAAAACTGTTCCATGATGCTGCTTCTTAGGCAATTCTAATGAGATTAAGAACATTGAAAGGGTGATGAAATAACTCTTGTGTTCTCAATAGTAAATTCAGTAGAAGAATTAACACAAATACTTCTCTGCTCAGTTGCCATAGAGCTGTTTCACAAAAGTGAAGTGAAATTTTTCCCTCTCTGTTTCTGAGTAAAATGACTCATGCAGTTGGAGAATTTAGGGATAACATGGATTACTGGGATTGTAACTTCCCAAGTACTATACTGTTCTACATAGAAATTCCTGCTTATTTTCTTTTTATCCATTGAAACTTTTTAGTGACTCATCTGAATCTGTGCTGAAAGCAACAAGGCTCCTTGWGTTGGTACTTACAATACAACATGGCTTGCCTGTTGCATCAGCAACTGTTAATTAACAGTAATTGTTCTGTATTAAAAGATAAAACAGGAATACACTGAAAAGGTCATAAAAGATAATTACACCTCAGATAATATATATAATGATAGCTTGTTAACGTTTTAACATGAAGCTTATAAAAATGTAACCTGTTCAGCTCACTCTATGACTACACTTGTATACTGTACATATCTGGCTTTCAGGGAAGGTAGAGCAGATATTCATTTGGAAATGAAGCATTTTCGAATGAAAAAAATCTAGGTGAGACATTTTTGTCTGACATTATGGTAGCTTTGAAAGACATGTACTAAAATTGGATCTGCCAGGAAGTACAGGGTTTGTCACGTATCTTTCCACCTTGGGATTGCAGCCTTTTGGAGTCAGTGAGTAAAACATGATACTTACCATAGTTAAGAAACTTGCTCTCCTCTGGGCTGGTAAAGAGTGATTTAAAGAACTTCAAGCATTGTTTTATCCACAGAAATTATTTAGCAAACTGAAGAGGATAGCACCAGAAATGGGGAATAGATTTGGGGAGGAAAACCAAGGTTGGGCTCTCAAATTTCTGCATGATTTGGGAATCTGGCATAAGGCTCACTTTTTTTACAAATGGAGAYAAATGGAGTTCAAGAGCTAAACATTGCACATGGTGACTTGGCATCATATTACGCACAAGCTGTGACTCATGAGGTACTATATGAACCATTTTTAATTAAAGTTAATTATTCTCTACTCACACTGTAAGAAACTTAATGGTTTCAGAGTATGATTCACTCACTTTCTCCACTAAGGTAAACCAAAAAAGTAAGCTTTAATAAAAAGATCAGTAATAGCAAATAAGGAGACACAGTTCCCCTGAGAAAGGATAAAATAAATCATCAGATATTTCCTGTGCGTATTTCTTTTTTTTTTTTTTTTCCATTTCAGGGAGTGAGTTTTTTGCAARACTGTTCATTCACAGGCTGTGTGAGCTATATATAGCAATTTTACTGCTATGATAACACCTCAGCAAGCATTTTTTTCCTTGCACATCTAAGCCTGTCTGGCCAATTTTAGACTACAAATAGCTCTGCTGCAGCTGTTGAATGTGACCAGTTTGTCTCCCACCACTCTCAGCTCAAAAGAGCAAACTCTTCTCTTTCTGCAGATTTTCCCTGAGATAGCAGGCATCAGTACATTTGAAATAGGGGTGGATAAAGCAGAAGAGGGGTTATGGATATGAAGCTTTATTTCTATGAAATACCTCAAAATAGTAATTAATGTATCTGGTTGYTAATGGGAACAATGGAAATGCAGGTTTTATGGCTTTCAGAAAAGGTCTAAGAGCAGCATCTGTGGTTTTATAGTAGATCTACGGAAGTTTGCTTTCAGAAATAATACCTTTCAGTGTGTTTTCATTCTGTCAGTAAGAATTTGGAAGGATCCAGTCTGGTGCAATTAAATAAAAGCAAAAACCCAAATCTGATTCAGAAGTGTTTCTTTACATAAGACTGTTGATCCTTTTGCCAAAAAAACACACTTCAGAAAACAAACAAAAAAAAAAAAAGAGTAATAGTTTACAGGACAGGAATTTGTTTGGCTTAATTAAATCAAAAGACTACATGATTATTTTGGTTGGGTTTTTTTTTTTTTTCCACTTGTTATCCATCTATGTGAAAAAACTAAGCTCTAAAACTAAGTMTTTTCAAATTGAAATGGAAAAGTACTTTTTAAATGATGGCTTAATGTYACTGAGAGCTCATAGGCATTAAGGATGGCCTTTTCCCCTGGGAGAAGATAAATTCATGCTGAAATCACTCTGTTTCTAACCATCACAAGTGTATTGGCTTTTATTTAATCCTGATTTAGGTGGTTGTATCCAAGAATTATACTCATGTCCTTAACAAATAGAACWGCAGGTAAATCTAAAGATTTAATTTCAAAAGTAAACACTAAAAATTCGAAGCACAGACATAACAATTATAGATTCTGTAGATGTGTAGTAATGGTTTGCAAATCTATAGACAATCAAGTATGACAAGCCTCAAATTTTAGAGTAAAATATGCAGCATTGAAGACACAGTATATTGATTTGCATTCCCATGCTCYGTAAGTCAAACTACAGGAAAATCACTGCTGATTGTTTAAGGGCTTTTTGTTTTCAAGCTAGCTGCTGGCATACAAAATGAACTCTTGATTGCTCCTCTTGATGTTCCACTTGTACTTAATCTTTCAATGAACAGCAGTATACATGCAAAGTAATGTGGAGAAAGCACTTCAGTGATTTATCCTGTGTTCAGAAATGTGAGATTAAAAAAGAATTGCAGAAAACATTTGCCTATTTTGTGGGATGACACAGTGATTTTAAAATCACAAGTCTTTTGGAGAAGATAGCAACATTGTATATGTCATTGTTGCTTTTATTCCCAAAAAGCTAAATATAAGAATATTATTTTCACCATAATGAGTTTTTGTCTTTATATSAACTCAATTTATAAACAGTAATACATGTCTTTCCTGAATATTCTCAATGCGTATGATTAGAAGAACCTTGAACTTTTTTTTTTGTATGGTGTAGTTTGAACTGATGGAATAAAACTCAGGGGGCTTCATTTTATAATGTGAGACTCTGAACTGGAAGCTTTGCAACTGTGTAATAGTCTGACTGAATATCAGAGTCAATACAYTGGAGAGGTCTTTTGCATTTGCATCCAAAAACAGTAACACAGATAGAAAGGCAGCTTGGATATGTGATTGGAATGTCATTTTGATGTCATTTTGAGAACTCCACACAAGATCCCTCTGCGGTTTTTAAACAAATTTCATTTTAAACCAATTTCTTCCATCTCCTGAGATTTCTTTTAAAATACATTCTGAAGTGTTGTTTCACAATTGAGTTACTGGTCAAGTCTGAAAGGATGWTGTTTTAAGAAACCTCTTTTATCTAGCTGAAA